GGGTTCAACCAGAAACCATGCGTGTATGCGTGTATCGCACGGATCTTTAACCACTGCGTTTCTCGCGTCTTTTACCTATGCTTTGATGAATGGGGGAGGAGTAGGATCGCCTTGAATCAGCATGGTTTGTGGTTGGGTTCGTTTGACGGAAAATCCTTAATTTCATCTTTCATAGGATTGTTGTTTCAATCATTAAAAAGATAGTTCCCACGAAGATCATTCAATAGTTATCTTGCATTTATTTCAAACAACTGGTGAGGTCCGGACATTCTTGCTTCTTTTTCTAGTTTTTGTTTCACACCTTCACTCAACTCTTTCTTCTCATTGGATTTTTGACAATACATCCTTTACAAGAAGCACTGAAAAAGGGGGACTGCGGTTAGCCTATAACGGAATGATTCGTAGATGAGGTCATCCGACGAAAAAGCTATTGTTTCATCTTCCATCTGCTAACGTACCACTGGCTGGCACGCGGCTTACATCTGACCGTTCAAAGCTATGACTACCAGTACCACACATGTGCAAAGTGTTCTTTTTCTAGTGCTCTGGACTTGAAAGACTTTTTAGGTTTAACTTTCCCCTTCCAGGTTTCAACCTGCAGTTCTGATCCATACAAGCAACAAAATGTCGCCTAAGTTGTGAACTATACTTTGTTTTTGACAGATTGTACAATACTATGGGCATGTGTAGCGCACTGGTTTGAGGTGCGCCACAACACGTGATTGCTGGTTCAATTCCGCGCTCTGGGCTCACTAAGGCTCCCATTCTTCCGGGACCAGCAAACTGGTACTAGGCTTCTCCGTATAGATACAATATCATTGGCTTATTACATCGGTAGGCAACTGCAAGTCGTTATAAATCCTCAGATTTGCATTCAACCACCTCTAGCGATACCTGGTGACGCCGAATTCATGGCGCATTCCTCAGGAGTTGGTAAACGCCAAGAGTTTCGTCCTTTCGTATTAGACAATGCAATATCTCGTCTTGTCAAATTAAAGTTAATTCCACATTCCATGCTCATCCAATTATTCGGATGAGAAAATTTGAATGGACATATGCCTACATTCTGAGAGGTATTTTGCCTGTTTGATAGCCAACCTCCTAGGAAAAAAAATAAGCAAAACAGCGGTCCTTCCTCAATCATATCATTTGTGGATGAATTCTTGCAGCGCCAAGCCATAAATAGATACTCAACATGTATCTCCCTCATGAGTAGTCCTCCTTTGTTTTCATGTCACTTTACTTGAATTTCTTCTTGGCTCCTGATAAAAATCTTGGATGCCAAATGGACACATTTATTGATGTAGAGACTAAAATGTAAATGAGGACAAATTTACGGCGCAAGATCAAGCACCATGATATGCATATCAAGGATCGAGGTAGGACCTATCTAGGCAATCAATGTCCTTCCGTCCACAAGGATTTGTAAACTATTAGAGATGAGAAGGAAAAGAAGGACCAACTCTCAACAATATGTACAGGGTCAAAAAACGAAATCTAACTTATCTCACTAGTGGGTTCATAGAAATAAACAAAAACAAGCAGCAACAACAGCAGCAACAATAAAAACAGTAGTACTTCTTAGATTAAATAAGATATAATTGCAGCTTACAGAACAAATCAAATTAGTGGGAAATAGAAAAAACGAACCTATACGTCGTCATTCTTGTCGTGGTGGAGCTAAACAATGTGCGATGAATAATGGTGCAAGATGAGGAACAGGTGGAAGGGCGTGGCACGGGCCATCAAACAAGCGAATGGCGGCCGACGTGTTCGCTGGTCGGCTCGCGGCGCTGCCAGATACTGACTGAACGATTGCTTCTACTGGAGCCAGTGAAGCAAAAGGTGTTTTTGTCGTTCTATTCGACGTTTCCGCAGACATTTTCGCTTGTGATTTCGGATGGGCAAGCAACAGACCCTAGATGAAACAAAGAGACAAGTTCAAGTTTTTGCTACACACATAGATTCAATTGCTTCATTACTCATTCCTCTCATTAAAAAGCCTCAAATGTTTAACTCGGCAGAAAAAGAACAGATGGTGATTGAAGTTCAAAGTAAAAAACAATGAGACTGTGTACTCAGCAATTGAGGAATTCCAACAACACGAACATCGCAGGAATTCCCCAGAGGAACTAAAACAGTTACCTTTTCTGTCCTAGCGACAACTAAAAGCCGGGAATCCTTGTCAGTCGTTGCGATAAGATCAGTCACAGGGGCCATTAGTTTGAAAGACCCTTTCATTGCCGCCGTCTCTACGTCGAATTCCATCACTAGATACGATATTACAAATAATGTAAAATAATATGCAGTGAAGGAATTCATATCCATCCGTATCTATATCCATAAAAACTCTTATTCGGGTATCCTTTCGACGCATTTTCCTTCTTCAGAACGACGACCGTTCGAGTTGATTGCTCACCGGTTCATTCTCGTGATGTGTGCCGCCATAGTTGCATCGAGTCGAATCTAGAGTAGTGGTGCAGCACTAGAATAAAGTGACCTTGGCAGTACCTTTCTGTATAGGATGGTTCTTAACTGATTGTGCAATGGTAATAATTAATAGTAAAAACAAGAACGGTCCTTTATAAAAGGCACTGTCACGTGAGGTTATTTCGTTCGAGCGGTACTTCACTCCACTAGATTCGACTCGATATGAATACGGAAACCCATACCACAAGAACAAATGATTTTGGACAATTCAGTCAAATCATTTCGGCTCTGAAGATGGAAATAGGGCCAAAGCATTAGCTGGATAAAAACTTTACAACGCATTCGTGTAACCCGAGTAATCTAAAAAAGTGCTGATTACTCATGCCAATGCTGAGTGAAAGTTATTCTACAAAAACTACAGTGAAGAAGGTCAAATCTCTTTTCCTAACCTGTATCCTCAGCCCACGCGAATGCTCCGGAAGGTGATACATACACGCAAAGAGACTGTTCTACGACCCATAATAAGTCGAACCTCATCGCCGTGTGTCGCCAACATCTCACTGCTCTGTCAGTTGCGCATACAAGGTGACCTTTCCCATCAAATTCAACAGAACGAGCTCGACCATCAGTACTTAAGATTTCCACTTCGTTCATCTACAGTGGGATGGAAAGTGTTAGATGGATCCAAATTAAAAAAGAAAAACGGAAGATATTAACAACGAATGGTGTTTTTACAAATGTTTAAAGAGTGCCAACCTCTTCTAATTCTAAAACAACTATGACATCGGTATTATTTGCACCCTCTGCATATGCTGCTGCCCACAAACCATTATGGATTGTTGATCCACAATGAAATGGGTAACGCTGAAACGACAAGTGAAAAAGGAAAAATAAATTTCACTGCAAGCTATTAAAACAGGTGGACGAATTCCCTACAAATACCCGATCAATTTGCCGAACAGGATCCAACTTAAACCGAGTTTTTTCTTCACAAGGTATCCACACGTTAACTCTACCATTACCCGTTACTGACACAAAGAGCTGCAAAATTAAATATGTTGACATGATAAAACAATATAATATGTTTCAATAAAGACAACAAAGCCACCTGTTGCTCACTATGAGGATCTCCGCAACCAGTTATGAATACTGTATCCTTCGGAACAACAAAGGAATCCACGAGATGCACGGTTAAACAATCTTCATTCAAACGTTTCCAAAAACGAAGCCTCTTCTTTGAAAAAAACCATTAAGGGCCAAAGGAAAATCAACTTAAAAAGATTTTAGTAAATTATTCATTGGCATTTAACCTCTACATAGCAGGTAATCCATAACACCATAATATAGGTGGGTGTGTAGAAAATTACCATTTAAAATGTGCCTATTAGTTGTCATTTAAATACTATTTCATGAAAAGTAGCTCACATGGTCTTCTTCGAAATTAATCATTTGTTCCAGAGTGACCACAGCTGAATATGACAAGAACGCCTGCTCGACATCAGGGAACGTTTGGATTATTCCAGCAAATGTCATATCACCATCGGCAACATTTTCCAAGGAAAAGCTAACCTGCGACAAGTAAAAAATAAGTGCGAGTTCGAGATTTTTTACTTTGTTCTAGAAAAACTTCCAGGAAAATAACGTCTTACAGTTAAGTCTGAAAAATAAGGCTCATGTGTAATCTCGCTCATGTGGATACAGCCATCTAGCCATAAGGCTACGTAACACAGTCCTAGGTGACGCAAAGAGGATTAAGTAATGAGCAAATCAACCCTGCACTTGCATTAGGAGACTCGTAGTTTCAGAGGATGAATTTCTTTCCCGCTGTGTTCGGTTGATATGTACGCAGAAATAAAAGATAAAGGATAAAGCTCTCGGCGTTGACCAATACCTGACGGATGCTCCAAGTATTCGACTTCATTAAGCATCGCTTGGAGGTGATTGAATGCATATCTGGCCTTTACAATGACTCGCGGTGGCCTACTGATGTATCGAACCAGAGCGGCTATCCTCCCAGACAAGTCGAGTATTCATTTGACGACCCATGAGGGATGTAAGGCTTGGTGAGCCAGGAGCGCGGGAATCGATCTCTTGTGTATTGTAGGGCGCCTCCGGCCACTGCGCCACACGCGCCCCTTGGAATGTATGCAAATATTTATGCACGTGTACGTTGCTGTGTCTGTGTGTATTAAATGTACCATGCAAATCAAACTGGACGGAAGTTTGAAACAGAGCAATTAGGAGGTATGTGGGACGAGCTCAGCAGTCACCTCAACAAACCAAGCTTCTTTCCTACTCTGGAAAACACATGGAAAACACATGTGAGCAACTCTATCCCACACGCTAGAGCTCCCAAGCTCACCACGAGTAATAATCAAGGGAAAAGTAAAAATCATTCTCCTATCTTCGAGAAGGTTACCGCTATGTTGAAGCTTTGTATAGGATAAAATAAGCTGGTGAAGTCTCATGGCCATTCTAGGTTGTTTAAATTTGGAACAAGTATGGTAACGATTTGTATTTATGAAGCACAGCACCAGAATCCTTTCGTAAGCCCCTCATGTTGACGCAGACTAAATAGTAAGAAAATTAAGTACCATTTCATTGGACTGGTGAGAAGAAGAATTGGAGAAGTTGGGACACTCGTCATCACGACTGCTCTGAACAACTAACAATAGGAATCGAACGTTAATGACTAAAAAACGTGTATCAATGCCGGCTTTGACAATCTTCAGCCACTATGCACAACAAGGAGCCAAAACTCTTTCACTAAAAGGATGCCAAGGTGATATCGTCTCAACAATACTACCTGAATCGCGGCCATACTTGGAAATGCCATGTGAAGAAAGGAATAGAATAACATAGGAGGGAATATCGATGGCGAGAAGTTACAGCACCTCGTTGCTAATGATAATACGATTTCGATAGTCCTCATCGACAAATTGGTACTGAAACGAATTGCAGCAGACGATGTTCATGAGAAAAGCATTCGTTTCTTATGATTCATTCACGCATAGAGAAAAACATCTCCAAATGGTAAAGTTCTTCGTATCTAGGTCGAGCAGTCGGCATAATTAACTCAACTCCAGAACTGAGTAGCAAGAAGCGAGTAGCTTATAGAGCTTAAAAGAGTGTCAAGGAAAGAGTGAAGAACCAGCTCACTGACACTTCGTCGATCCTACGGTTCTGCTAATTTCGACGAATGCATCGGAAACCACAATGATACCTGGTCACGTTAGAACACCATTTAGCGTTATCAAACGCGCCATGGAAGAGGCGATGTTAGGAGTATCTCCTACAATGCGAGTGAAACGCAGAATCCAAAGTTTCCCTCACCATTATTGACCAGAGACGAGAGACGGTGCTGAACATGGCAGTGCGTAGAAGATATGGGTCGAATACGTCTTAACGATAACCGATGGACAAGGGCCATTATCGACAGCGTCTTATGGGATGTCAAAAGCACAGCAGAAAACCCAACGACAGATGGTCAAACTCACTCAGAAAATACTCGGAAAAACGATATGATACTCGAGAAAAAAACAATATTACCAGAGTGAATGTAGTCTACTGAGATACTGTTATACGCAGGAAAAAACTGGAGAGTGTACTGAAACCCAGTCGACAGTCAATGGATGGAGAAGTAACAAATAACAGGTAAAGACGTCCGTAAAACATAACAATGTAAACACAATAACTGCAAAGTAAATATCAAGAAGAAAAAATGCACCCCACTAGAGCTCTTCAGAAAGTATTCACATTGAAAGATAACAACCTGGGAAAGCGTAAACGAATCGATGCATTGTATCCACTGCAAAGACCCAGGTTTACCATTCATCACCACAGTCGCAGGCATACAGGGATCACTGGAATACATAATAGCATCGTAGACAAGTAATTAACGCAAGTGCAAAATCTCTTCACAAACTAACCTTGTGAAAACATTTGTAAGAGAGCGTCCACACGTAACAACGGTCTGTAGAGAAGACAGCACGCTCATACTTGAAATGAGCACCACGTGAAGTGAGTTGTCTTCTAAAATCGCTAACATCTAAACGTGGTCATAAAAACATTAGGATTTGAAAACGAAAGAAAGCTACAAACCCAAAACGACAGCCACAAGACTTGCATCCTCAGAAATAGCAAGGTCGCGAACAGGAGCTGCGAGGCGGGGTAACATACTGGGTCGCCCTGCACCACTAAGAGTAAACTTGCAGAGAACTGCTTCAGCCCCAGCTGACAAGAGGCCACCGAATTGNATACTGGGTCGCCCTGCACCACTAAGAGTAAACTTGCAGAGAACTGCTTCAGCCCCAGCTGACAAGAGGCCACCGAATTGGCTTAATACTATGCACGGAGCTACCTGAAACATTGTCTAACAGTTGAAACTACAAGGAAACAAAAATTTTGTCCTAAGACACTACAAAATATTCCGTTTTTGAAGAACGGCATTCCTTTCGCTGGTAAATTTCAGTAGCGGAGGACTGTAACGAATACATCCCATAATCTTAGGCTTCAATAGCAGTATTTGAACAAACGTTAAACAAGCACATAATTTATTATAGGAAGAGCCGTTTCTTAATAATGTATTTATTTACTTGGATACTTGGATGGCCCGTTATCACTGGTTGTACGGGCCCCAGCATAATTTCCATCTTTTCGGAGTTTTGCTGGTTTAGCCGTTGTGGTTCCCTAGAGTCCCGAGGTCAGCCTGTCCAAACTCTGCCCCAGGTCGTCAGCACCACAAGCAGTTGCAGCTCTTGTGGATCAAATGGAGATTTGCTACCCCGCGACTAGTTTGATACCAGCACGGTAATCGATTATGGTATTGGTTTACTCTTAGGTAGGCTTCCTGATGGAAAAACCGAACTCCTCAGCTTGGAAGAGTCTGCCGATGCATTAATCCCCCCGCTGTACATCGCAGCTCGACACCCAAGAACACCTCCCTGTCACGATAAGGCGGTAAACTATTGGGAGCCTTCATAATGTAATGTGTCATAACTCGAACGAATGTTAGGTATGGGAGCCACACGAGTTTAAATGCAATAAAACTAACCTTTTACGAGCAAGGCAGCAATATTTTTTTGGAGAGATGGATTTGCCTTTTTTTGCCGCAAAAGAAAGTTTTGTTGAATATCCTATTTTGACGATTACAATTCTAACACAAAATCTAGAACAACATGACTGCGAGCTAGAGATAGGTCACAAATGAATGTGTGGCAGGCAGCACATATAATTTCTATGAAAACAGTTTGAAATCCACTCATTTAAGCGTTGACAGATATGACCAAAAATCTAAAGCTAAGCTTGGAGTTTTACTGACGGCATCAAAGAACACCTATGTTGGATTATTTGGGAAGTTCAGTATGGATTTGCCCCACCTACCCCAATAGAAGCTCAATTCTACGGACTTTAAACAGATCTTCTATCCGAATAAAGTCGATAGAACTAACCTTATGCCAATGCACAGTGAATGCCGAGTCTTGCACACCTTTCTGTGAAACGTGCGACCTGTAAAACAACGAGATGATTATCTATCCATATTTAAACTGAGTGAAATTCCAAAAATGAACGGAAATTCGCAGGATCTATACGTTCTGCATAATTTCTATATTCTGAAAAATGTGATGTCGTAAACCCAATGTAAATGCAGCGTAAGGTTTGAAAAATGACAATCCAATTATTAAATTAAACTTATTGGGATAGAACATTAATTATTAGCAAAATAGGAAAAGTGGAAAATATTAAGATGATACTGCAGCGATGCTGAGATATGTGCCAAACCCCGGACTGCAGGTGCGGATCGAACACGTTATTACCTTTTCCAGGGACTAATTCGTTCACCACCACAACATGCGCGTACTTCGTTTCGCCCTCTTCTCACCTAGTTTTCTAAAGAACCGGAAAGGGTAATAGCGTGTTCGATTCCCACCGCAGTCATCTGCCGTCCGAAGTTTTGCAGATATCTCACCATCGTGGTTGTATTTCACATAGTACCCTGCCGTGAAAAATCTTAGTAGGCAGTAAATAAAAAATTTAACATCAATATGATACTTTGGTGTATGTGTGATGTGAATGCGACACACCGACCAAATATAGACTCTTCCAATTGCCAACGCTGCAGCCACTGTATCGCCCTGGGACGTGATTCTCACGAAGACGTTCGCGCTGTTCCGTTCACCGATTCCTAAAAGCATAAAAACACACAAATTTTCAGAAAAGGAGAAAATAAAACGAAATAATAACTTGCCTTCAATATGGGCTTTACATAAGTAACTACTAGGAGCCAACAACGTATTCTCTTCAGTTGGAACTACGAACACTTCTTTACCGCAGCAGTATGCAACATAACTCTTCTAAAAGGGAAAGCAAAACCTAATCGAAAAATCGAAAAAAGGTGGTACTGCGCACCTCCACAGTAATCTGTTCGTAGCCAAGTCGAGAAGGAAGTTTTGCAAGGTGGAAGAGGGATTTATTTGGCAAAACAAAGTCCACCGAATAGTGCGTCCCATGATCAATAACTAGCACACAACGATCATCATCAGTCTGGTAGAAAGCTCTTCTGAAGCAAATATTGTCATGTGTAATAACTTCGTCATCAATTACATCTGAGAGAAAATTTACATTACTGGAAAACCAGTGACTTTGTTCGATGAAGTCTCCATGTAGTCATTCTCAGTCAACGACCACTCAGTGATTTCACCACCTTTCGTTACAACGACCAACTGGAAAGCATCAATATTTGTAAAACAAAGGGAATAGAGTGAAATTAGAACAAGAAACCATAAAGATCATACGGCCTGCTGTCCAGTGAAGAAAGCAGATACTATGTCATCAGCATGCTCAAAGACACCAACACGTTTTCCGTCACCAACAGAGAACAACATACAATCAGAACCTGCACAGGCTGCGACAAGTCTACAAAGTAAGCATCACAAAGCAGCACTGCGACGGGAGAGATCTAGTCAGAAATTTAAGACTTTGTGAGAATCTAGGGGTAGAAGACGAGTTCAATATCCAACATTCTTTATCGAAAGCATGTATTTCACTGCATGACGATCAAAAACGGAAACTAACTCATTGGTGTGGTCAAAGGCGACGCATCCAAGTGGAAGGCTCCGAATGCTTTGAATAACCCAATCTCCAGAGATTGACATCACGTCAAGACACTGGTAATAAACGTACTTTCATAGCAGTTACTAGATCAGAATGAATGAATGGGTAAAATGACAAAATATTACCTAGAGCATTTGAAACTCCTGTTAAGAAAACGCAGCTTAAAACTAAGCTTTATTCACTGCCTAGACACAAACCACTTCAAAAAACTGCATATACCTCGAAAGTAATCGTTAGATATAAACAGGAAGGAAAGGGATCGAATTAATTACACGCTATGGATTGAGATTGGAAATGGTCCGCAAATGTAAAAACTATATTAGCTGACGATGACAAAAAGAGCTATGGCAAGGACATCAAAGTTAAAGGCGAGCTTATGGATCAGAGTCAGGATGTGATTGTAGAACATAAGTGAAAGAAGTCACAATAAAGTATTTAGGTTATAATCAGTGTAAATACTATGGACACGGCTATACACCACCTGAGTTTTGGCCACCACGTTTGAAAGAACCAGACGTACATGTTCCTCTTCTGGTATACTCCCCTGAATTGATGTGATCAGCTGACCACGAGATGGAAGCGTATATAACGCTAGCCCTACAGCTTTTCGTATAACCCAGTTGTGAAACCTAAAACCGTTTCCTTATTCCGACAATGTGAAGCGACAGTAAGCAAATAAATAAGCGAAAAGTACGAAAACGAAACGAAAGGGCTATTTAATACGAATACAATGGAACATTTCAGCGGCTAGAAAGCCAATTTTAACTATTTTCGACACATTCTAACAATACCATCCATGAAAAAAACCGTCTACTTTACTTTGAAACTGAGACCTGAGTTAATGCTACAACCACGACGAAAATTAGCGCGGTCCGCAGGATTCGTGATCCAGGTTTTCGAAAATTACCTCATATTAGACATCCGGGAGAGCGCACTTCTTAAGCAGAATTGAACTGGCCATGTAATTAATGTTAACGAATGATTTACGAGAAGAAAAGTAAACTGGATTCCAAGAGAAGGCACTTGTCATCTGGGAGATCCATTTACGGAATAGGTGAAGGTGGTGTTCGTAGCCCACGTCCACTAGTTGTATACGCAAGTGGGGATAATTCTAGGATTATGAATTGGAACTTGTGGACGCCAACACGGTCAAAACAGACCACCATATTTGCCTGAGAAAGATTAGAAGGGAACACGTGCTAGGGTACCATAACCTTTCCAAAGAACTTAACAGCTTTTTAGTTACTGCCTATTCTTTTTTCATGGCAGGATATACTGTGAAATATAAATACAACGATGCTTAGACATTTGAAAAACTCCAAACTGAAGCTGTTTGCAGTTGGGATCGAACATGCTACTACCCTTCCTAGGGCCTAACGCGTTCACCACCACACAGTACGGCTCCTTCGTTTGGTTTTCCTCGCAACGGTGGTTATTATTAACAGTAACCATCACGACTAACACATTGACGACCACCGTTGACTTCGCGCAAACCAAAAAAAAAGCTGTGAACTCATCAATACTTAAAACACAGTAAATGTTGGTTTTTTGTAACAATAAGCTATGAAATTTCGATTACTAGAGGACCTATGAAGTTCAGAACGTCACAGAGTTATAGAAAAGGATCTAATTTATCCATCGACCATCGAAAGATAGATTATTGTTACTCTACACTAAATTTTTCAACGTACTTCATCGTCCGAACACATTGATCTCAGAATTTGGAAGAATTTTGCTACTTGAAGATATTTTGGTATTTTTTCCAACTAGCCAATAAATACGATTATAATGGCCCGTCTTAACTGAAAGTGAAAGAAAGAAGAATTTGTTCTCAAAAAATCGACTCTGAGTGTCCGGCATAAGGAATGCCTGCTTTCTAGCAATTCCCGATAATTTCCCATAAGTATGGAGTGCCTAACCTGACACACTTCTAAGAAATATTTTTGCCTTACCACTCTAAGAAAACTTTTTTGAAGGGTATATTTCGTTTCAAACTTGTTTAAATTAAAGCTTTCATTCCTACCAACAGTTTACCGCCTCATCGTGGCTGTGAGGTGTTCCTGGGTGTCGGGCTGCGACGTCCAGAACGGGGATTCCTCCCCCGGCAGCGTCTCCCAAGCTGAGGAGTCCGGCGTTTCCATCAGGAAGCCTAGCTAAGAGTACACCAATCCCAATACCCACAACCGTCCTGGTGTCAAACTAGTCGAGAACTCTCCCTCTGATCCACAAACGCGATAACCTCCTGTGGTGGTAACGACCTGGGGCAGATTTTGGCCGGGCTGTCCTTGGGATTCCAGGGAACCACAACGGCTTAACCAACAAGTCTCCGAAAAATTTAAATTTAAATTATGCTGGGGCCCGCGCAACCATTGGAGACGGGCCATTCAAGTATCAAGTAAGTAAATATATATACCACTCATACGCGCAGATCGATAGAGAAGTCTTTTCTACAATCCGTTCATGTTCATCACCCACGAAGTACTCTAGTCATCGAAGAATTACTACTTATTTTCAATGAACTAGCAAGTCTTCGAAGGCCGAAAATTAAGTGTCGTCCAGTTCGCAACAAAGCCGATATTAGGCGTCGTCTCCAGAACGCTAATAACGAGAGTCTGTCGTCGCAAAATCTCGTCCGAAAGAGATTTTTTGTAAACTATAAAGCGTAGAGAGAAGCTTTTCATGAGTCACTTCTAATATTGAATCAACGTTTGACAAGCTATCAATGGAATATAAAAAGTGCAGTGAAAAACCTCTATAAACCACTGAACAAGGGTGACAGAACTTCGCGTAAAGTGGTCGCCAACGGATTCATAAAACACTGGTGTGAACAATATCTTCACATTTAGTAAACGTACCTAGCCAAAGTATCATCGTACGTCCTGCGGCATATAGAAGAAACACTCTCATCATTGGTACTTTCAGCTAGTGCATTGAGAAAGGCAACGATGAACTCCAAAGCTCTGGAATGTAGAGAAGTTCAGCACTTGACGGTATATCACCCATGAACACCAGAAGCCGGCTTTTTTAAAAGACATTTAGAAAAAACATCAGTGCAATAAGGAAAATATGTGATTAAGCAGAATTTTTCATCCATAAAGTGATATACTAAAGAATAAATATACACACAAGCACCCACCGGTGTAAGGCTAGCAATGCCTTTGAGCCAGGATAATGGCGTTTCTCATTCTCGAACACCACCATTGACTTCACACTACGATAAGAATCCGGGTTAGTCTCCCAAAGATATTGGAGTTTGTTAGTCTTCTCACGAACATCTATTTGTACGAAATGGAATATCTTTCCCAATAAGCCAATAAACCTAAACTGATGATGAAAATAACACTAGATCCAAAAAAACATTGTATGTTCTCCGGACCGCCGTTGGCTGCGGTGAGGAATGAACACGCTATTACCCTTTCCGGGAGTTAATGCGTTCACCACCACACCATGCGAGTCCTTCGTTTGGCCTGTCAGTTGTGCTACTAACCTACATGACCGTGTCATTGACCTACAGGACCGTATTATTAAGCTCCTATAGGTCAATAACCCGGCTGAGAGAAAGGCGAAACGAAGGACTGACATGGCAAGGCGGTGAACACATTAGCCCCGAAAAGAGTAATAGCGTGTTCGTTCCCAACCGCAGACACCAGCGGACCGGAGATTAGCAAATTTCTCAGGATCATTATAGTTATATTTCACATAACACCGTGGCATTAAAAAAGATTAAGCAGTAAACTTAGGAATAGAACAAATTACGAGAAACATACTTGGTTAGTTCCTCATAAGCACCGATAAAATACACAAGATTCACGTCTTCATTGTGATCTTCGGATGTTGCCGCTTCGAAGTTCTTCAGGACCGTTTCGATCCGAAATGCTGGGCACTTGTCAACGGCATTGTGATCCTCTTCCACCATATTTCTGAAACCCTCCTGAGAAATTGCACATAACCAAGTGACAGAGCAAAACCAGAATAATAAACCGTTCATAAATACTAAGAACTATTTTCTGCTAAACATGCACTTCATGTGGTGGAAAACAGTTCAATATTTACTAGAAATACAAAATGTTCGAGAGCAAAAGCGCACAAGAATGTTGACGTCCTAACTCAATGTATGTTCTATTGGTAGATTTTGAAGATCGATGACCCGAAACCACCACAATCACGTTGCTGGTTCGACCACGGCTCGGGCTCACCAAAATTCATCCCCTTCCGGTGTAGCACATTTGTCCAGGCAAGTCCACTCTGCAATCCATGCGGTAACGCTCTAGTCCGGCTATCTCAGTACACCAGGGATAATCGACTCAACCAGCACTCAACGACATTCGTGACGAAAGGAAAATCCTCAAGCAGAAGCTGAATCGACAAGCGAAAAGTTCGCAGATCCTCGTAGATAATGGATGAGAGGAACGGAAGCGAATGCAAGTGCTGGGATGAGCAGAGCAGGTCTGAAGAGAGGTCGTTTGAAATAAACAATGGATAAACAAGCGGATTTTGAAGATTATCTTACGAATTCTCATAAATGAGCTTAAAACTATGCAGAGTTTCTCCACGGTGAAGAAACATCACATGTGACCAACAGCAAAACATCCGTAACTGAAAACAGACTTAAAAGTGGAGTCGAATGACCGCGCTCTGATTTAATATACTCGAAGGTTACAGAAATACCACTGCAACCGTTTACGAAGGAGTCCACACATGATTTTCAGAACATCCAAGATTACCCCGCCGTTGTGCTTTTCCACAAGAATGTCAGTTAATCCTGCAGCATGAAGGCTGTACTCTAATGAAATCCCAGAGACTGACCACGAACGTCCTTACCTCACCAGCGTGCTGCCCGGAACTCCGACGATGTCCTGCGCTTGAAGCAGTGAGTGAGTGCACCGACGGCTAACGTGGACAGTGTCTACCGTACTTGGTGAAGTCCTTTAAGAAACGATTGATCTCGGCGAGTTTATCGCGAGTGCTCGAGAATTGGCCCTCTCTCAGTGATCTCTAGTAGTAGACCGTTCCTGTTTGTTATCTTCTTTTTCCTTTTCTTACGTCACTTAAATTCACCGAGGAATGATTTCATGGTCCGTGAAAATGAGGCGTTCTAGTAGAGGGACTTGCCACTCGTAGGTCTGTGGTTTGACTTTAAAAATATCCTGAGGATTGTTAACCTTTTACTTGCTGCCCGATGTTTAAACACATGAGCAGTAAGAAACTCTTTTAACATGTAGACGTATTTCCCGCACCCGCCATTTTTAGGGTCACGAAAGTCACGTGGTCTAGATTTGAATTTGCTTTTAAAACGATTCGTGTACAACATAACCCATAACGGACATGTAGCTTGGCTTTCGGAATGGAATGCGAGCAATGTTTCGTCGACCACGAGCTTTCTGGTTTTTTGATAATGAAGAACAGTGTAGTCACTTTTCACTTACCGACTACTTTTTCTTTCATGGCAAGGTATGCTGTAAAATATAACTACAGTGATACTGAGATATTTGTAACACTCCGGACCGCAGACGTTCGTGGTGGGGTGCGAACGCGCCATAGCGCCTATAAAACACGGTTGAGAAAAAGGCGAAACAAAGGAGGCACAAGGTGCGGTGTTGAACGCGTTAGCCCCGGAAACGGAAATAGCGTGTTCGATATTGACTGCGGATACCAGCGGTCCAGAGTTTTGCAAATATCTCAGCATCATTGTAATGAAGAACAACTTTTGAGAAAATGGAGCGTTTTGGGGATTGTGAGGATGGCAGGATTGTAGAAAAAACTGCTCTATCGTCCTATGGTTATGAATGATATGTATGGCACTATTTGCTGTGTGTTGCTATGGTCCATTGTCCAAATACATTGCTGTCAGCGTTTGGAACTACCTCACGCCCTGTGTCGAGTCTCAGTATTCTTCATATCCGCACATTTCATTTAATTTACAATGAAGTGACAGTAAACTGTTAATCAAAATATCGGCCAATGAAATGTTTCGAGAAAAGGCTTTTTGTAAATCGTCCATTGTGAAGAACGACTTTCCTGGTCTCATCCTTGCTGTTTGGAGCTGCTTTCGACTAGCTATCAAATGAATGTGCACACTACGGTGAAAAAAGATCCTGTAGTCCTGATTCCCGTATAATCTTTGATGGGAGTCTATTTCGTTTACTTCGTACTGGATTTCACATTCCTTAGGGTTGCACTGAAAGTTTATTGATCCGACGTTGATTTCATTCGTGATGTGACAAATCTGTCGGCGCGAATTGATGTCAACTCGCTTTTTCCCAGTCGTTTATTTCGCTACGTGGAGGTTTTTCCCGCTGATTTTTGCATTTTACTGGTTAGCTTATCGAGCAAATCTTTTCGCTTAGGAAAATTGTTTCTTGGACGAGTCTGATCGCCAGGCCACTGAGATTGTTGCTAGTGAAGAGTGCAGAATGATGTTTATCCGATGCTCAAACATTCTTTGGCTTCAAATTTCAAGTAACACAAAGATTCTTCAGGTTCATGCATGGATCTCTCCATAGGGATGGAGCAGATCGGTTGACACATGGCGTTGGTTGAATGCGGCCACCGCATGTCATTTCACGGCTGGCTCCAAATGTTCATGTTTTCTAAACTACTTTATTAAAATTTTACAACCTTAATCTTTTCCACATCTTATCATTTAATCAGTTTTTGATGAGTTCAAGAGGGCCAGTTTACCAGTTTCCCAGGTTTCTACAGCTGTTATTGAAATCCTTAACAACATGTCTGTTCAGACACTAATGGATAGGATTGTTTTGGAGAATGCGTTGGCGTATTCTCACTGCATATTTGCTTATTGATTGGTCCAGAAAATTTTTGGGAGCTCAAAAAACTTTTGAACTCAGTAAGTTATTTGCTGAAATATTCGAAAGATTTTTTTTTACTGAAGTCTTTGTATATTGTGTTTGTATAAGTTGCACAACTACTCGACGGTCGTCTGCTATTAACGTTTCGTTGGGGCTCAAGAAATGGTGAATCTGCTGAACCATGCTGTTGAGAACTTCTTCTTTCTTTTAAACACAATAGTGCATAAATAGATTTCAGTTTGTCCTACAATCAACTGGTGCAAACTGCGTGGCAATTGTCAACTGAGGTCTCCCGTTCGAAAGTTCACTTCAAAGGAGTTACGTGGTAGCATGGTGGTTAAATAGTTGGGTAGTCTGTTCGCCTTGTGACGGCTAACAGCGCTCCCATTCTCTTCGTTATCTTGCATCTATCATTTGTAAAAGGTGTGCAGTCTTTCTCTAAGCTTAACTATTGCTTAAGCATCACCGATGTTTTGCATAATGTGACATATTGCATATTGTTCGACTATGATTTTCGTTGAAATTCCGGAATACCCGTGCAAGGGCGTACCGAGATCTTTACCGACAATCGCACTCCCTCGTGAATCGCAGAAAAGATTGCCACCTTGTGGCTGGGATACTTCGAAAGTTGCGTCGATTTCTACGATTTTTTTGACCGACTGTTTGGAAAAGAGGTGTGGTCCTGTTCAGAAGTAGTTTTGAAAATTGCGCTTTCTGTAAAATCTCTAGAGGACGTGCAGCGATGGGTCATAAAAGGTGAATGTCAATCGGAGGCTTGGCTTTCCACAGAGGTTGAGACGGTGAGTCTGGGTGGTTACTTTTGTAAATTGAGTTTTATTTCATTTTAGTGTGATGCAAAGGACTATTGAAAGCATGTGGAATTTAATAAACTGGTTTTAGCACTTTTCGATAACTATGTATTTGTTAAACGTAAAACTTACGTCTGCATGTAAAGTCCTGGTTCAATCCCGTCACGGACCAACCAAGCTCTCCTTCACTTTGGTGTCGGGAAATGCTAGACTTGCCAAGAATCAGCTCACTATCTGCAGTCCACGAAAGCTGGGAACTGCTGCAATGATAGTCGGTCTGAGAAAGCCACAGCATCAGTATACTAGGATTCTAGATAGAATAGGCTCAGTCAGCATTCATAGACATTCATGAAGAAGACTACGAAGTTCTTTAGTAAGAGCTGAACCCATATGTAAGATGGTAAGATCTTTGTACAAGGAAGCTAATTGAATTTCAGGAAGTATTGGGATCAGCGCAATATGTAATGTAGGTAGTGTAGGAATTTAGTTTAATTTTCGAAACGAGATGGTTCTTGATTACGAAGATGTATCACTGCAGAAATTTACTACGTTAGCCATTATGATACGACTTTACATCTTCGATGTCATGGCTTGAAGAATTAAATGTGGAACAGTGTTGCAGTGACCTCAAATCTTGCTAGTACGCACTGCAACGTGTTTCACCATTGTTTGTTAATCGTATGCAAGTCGCAGAGGTACATGTGTCGCAATGGTTACAGCTGCACTACAGTACACAAATGGTCTTTGGTTCGCTCCTACGCTCTTAGCTGAACAAGCACTCTGTTTCTCCTGTGTTGGCAGTGGTAGCAGACTAGTCTGGGAGATACGAACACTGATCTGACACATTGGATTTCCGTGAGTCATTATTCTACAGGCCATGTATACATTGGAATCGATCAACATCGGATGCAGTCTTAATTACGGGTGAAAATTTGTGTCGTGATAGAGCAGTGATACTAAATGATGATGCTTCCTTAAAGTTTATAAGAAACCAAGATTCTATCAAATCGCAACATTATCTGTGTTATCTGTTTCTGCTATCTATTTATCAAACGTCTTCATAACTTTGCATATTATTTAATGGGAGCTCTTTGTTATAGCTCTTGACTTTTCTGCAGTGGTGTTGTATTTGGGTGGAGAAACATGTATATCCTGCGGAAATGTAGTAGCTATCCTTGCCTCTCATTCGGTCTGTGTTTACATTTTTCAAACAAAATCGAGTTTTAGATGATTATATCGTTGGGTCCTCGAATGTTCAGCCGTAGCACCAAGTCGTTTTTGTAAGTTATTTTCAACGTTTTTTTTTCACTTCTATGCTATCTTGTAAAGATTGGAAACTCGAACCTTTCGTGTTTTAACTACGGTATATTTAGGGCTAGGGCAAAGCACAGTCTACCTGATCTTCCATATGACTACAATGCTCTGGAACCTGTCATATGCAGTGAAATAATGCAGCTACATCATCAGAAACATCATGCTACTTATGTTAATAACCTGAATGTATGTGAAGAGAAGATACACAGTGCTCTATCGAAAGGTATATGTGATGTATCAAGATGTCATGGATCGAAGTGGCTATTCTCACGTTATCCATCGAGGATTATATTTAAAGTACACAAGGTTTTTAGGTAACGTAAAAGATGCAATCGCCCTACAGCCTGCGTTAAAATTCAATGGTGGTGGGCATATTAACCATTCCATCTTTTGGACAAATCTAGCCAAAGATGGGGGAGAGCCTAGTGCTGAGCTTATGACGGCAATAAAGGTAGGGTTGATGTATCTAAGAAAGAGCGGCGAGTTTTTTTTTTTTTAACATATAAAGGTTTTCTTCGGACGCATTATATTTTTAGTGAACTAAAGCGCAAGAACATCAATCTTCATTATCAGTAGAGTAGTGGTAATATGAGTAGTAATATTGCTATACCGATAAATCGTCTATAAGCATTCACATGGGACTAGAATCGTTTGCAAAATACCACCCGATGCGTGTAGCCATAAGGCGCTAAGTGGTCTCCGTATCTAGACCAGGTTTTGATATGGAGCACCAGGGACTTTCAGAGTATCAGAAGCAGATTTAGACAAGAGATTCCAAATCTGGATTGGTTGTCAGTCATTATCGTCGTACATTAACCTCATGGAAAGCTGGACATCGATAATTCAACACTCAGTCTACCCTTCTCGAACCCCTTAGTGAAAAATAACTGGTTGATGAATAAAATTTTTGGGGTGTGAAGTAGTTGTTTGTTCAAAACATCTTCGAGGTTGGTATTTCAGTCGACACCATATTCCATGACTTTAAATTGGAAGCCCTTGACGATCCAATTGTTGCTCCTACATATTCTTTGTCTATTTACCTTTCTTTTTCTTTGACAAAAATGGTTATTTTGCTACTAAATTAGAATTCAGTACTCAACAAATTTTTAGCTGAGAAGTTAATCTCTTGCCATAGAGCTCAGTCGAAGCCTCTAATAGTGGTGTCTTCCAAATATTGTGACATCGTTGCAAAACATTTTGTCTCTTATAACTGCTGAGCTCTCAGTTCTCATAGAATATTCATTGAATCGATCTTTCTAATTTTAACTTATTTCCAGTTTTTTCCCAAAGGCCAAAGTTTTGGCAAATTTATTGTAACATTTATGAGTATTTTGGAAGTTCTTGAGTTAGGATTGCTGGTACGATCTTTGCACTACCGATTCGCTGACTCCTAGCGAGATTGTTTGATTAAGTATACAGCAAATCCTGATTTATCCAGTATTTTCCGTTCAAGGATTTGTCAATTTCCTTCATTTAACTCATTACGCGCGACGCTCAAATTTGCACTACTGCTGCATGAGACGACGCCTAATTCCATGTCGATTATGGACTTCTTGGACAGTAGACGATAATTTCCTGATAACTTGCGGATTTGAAGAGTTAAGAATGCGAAGGGGTTATGTGAAGAGGTTATCCCTATCAATCCAAGGATATGCATGATCTGTACGCTACAATTCGCTGTGTGTTACTATAGCCCATTGTGTAACCGCTTTGCCATCAGCATTTGGAAGTGTTTTACAGACTTATAAAACGATTATCGTTTAAAGAAGCATGCGAGTGAACTTTAGGTTCAGAGTCCTTCTGTTGCGGTTACGAAAGTATATACTCAAATAGATTTTGGATTAGTTTGACCTTTCCAGGCTCAAAGGGTGAAAGGCGAAACCGCTAAACACTAGCAGCTATCTAATAAATGTTGTCTTAACGATCTTGTGCCTACTCATCAACAGAACAATTTTCAAAAACTTTCTTTTTGTAAAGGTTTCTACTTTACCATACCTTTATTTTAAAAATGACCACTTCAATTTGCGTACTTCAGAATGATTTCGGATCACTCGAGAAAATGCAAGAACTCTTGTCCGCTGCCACGATTGCCGTGCAAGGCTCTGGTTGGGGCTGGCTTGGTTATTGCCCTAATGGGAAGAGGCTGAAGGTGATTATGCTTTTTTATGTATTTATTACATTTATCCCCATAGCGTGTAGTGCAGTGCTCGGAGGTGCCCTGCAGTACACATGGGATCGATCTCGCGCCTCAGGCTTACAAGCCTTACATCCTGGTCGGGTCGGGAGATTGGTGCTAGACCTGTCTGGGAGGATAGCAGCACTGGCTCGACACATCGGTAGGTAGTCATGGGTCATTGTATAGGCTAGATATGCGTTCAGCCAACTCTAGCAATGCTTACTGAAGTCGAATGCATAGCGGATGCCTAAAGGATTGATCAGAGTGGAGAGCTGTATTCTATGTCCTTTAGTTATCACTTGACAGAACTTCAAACGTATCGCGCTGTGCGGATCCCGGCATTACTTCTATTGGATTCATTTCCTCGTATCCACCATCCACCCTGTTTTTCGAGCCTTTCGCACCTGGTTTCCGCTGCTTCTTGACTGTCGTCGACTTACTGAATGTCATTGAATGGTAGTCGAGTGATTTTCCTCTTGGGTCTCGATATAGCCAGGTTAGAGCGTTTTTGCATGGATTGAAGAAATTGGACAGCCTTAACCCTTTTATTTACTGCCTTTTTTTTTCTTTTTAATGGCAGGGCATGTTGCGAAATATAACTCGTTTATAATGCTGAGATATTTGCAAAACTCCGGACCGCAGGTGTATGCGGTGGGGAACGAACGCGCGCTATTGCCCTTACCGGGAAGTAGCGCACTTCACTACCACACCATCCGGGTCCTTCGTTTTGCCTGTCTCTCAGCTAGTTCTGTTGTTCTTTTGCCATCAGCAATCACCCGTAAACGGGATTGATTTGGGGAGCCCAAATCGGCATTGAACCCAGTTAAGCTACGAGAATATACGCTATATACGAGAAATTGGACAGCTTCCGGACAACTCATAACATTTTTCGGACCGCTCAGGGAAGAGAGACTTGGAGGGCCTGCAGAGGAGTTGAACTAGTGCCTGACTAGGATGAATCGTGTTCTCAATGAACAGGATCATTATCACTGTGCTATTCGCCGCCTTTGTAAAGTTTGATTTTTTTAAACCATTTGGTTTTTTCATTTTCTTGAATTTCAATGAAACTCTATTCAGATTGCAACGTGTGCCAACCAAGATCCTCTAGAGCCGACAACTGGACTGATTCCACTATTTGGAATTGATGTTTGGGAACATGCATATTATCTACAGTATAAGAACGTTCGCCCAGATTATGTGAAAGCGATCTGGAAAATTGTCAACTGGAAGAATGTCAGCGAGAGATTTGCTAAAGCGAAACAGTAGTTATGACGTCAACTGCAGTTTTGCAGCATTTCGTACGTGTTTAGTCATGTGTGTAGCTTAATGTAAATAGCTTTTGTACAATGAGTTTAATCTTTTGTGTCGTTTAATGTAAAATTCTATACCTTTGACACAAATGTAGTGCAGTGCATTTTATTATAAAACAACACTCATCCATTGTTACAGAATCCTGCAGCAAGGATACCGATGAAAATACTTGTTTGTTTGCCAATTCATTACACTGCATGGGTTAAAAGTTTTGTCAGTCACGAGGTTAAAGATTCGGGATGAAGGAGCTGCCTCAGGATGGCATCTCCCACCAAGGAAATGGATCTGCGTAGTCTTGATGCTCAGGGTGGCGTTGGGCGTTTATCTGAAATATAGAGTCTTTGTGAGTCGTTACGGATCAAGATCCCGCCATGTAGATAGTTACCAAAGATGTAATCACTTAATTTCATGATTCGTATAAAGTAGCATAGTGGATCAACCATGTGCCCGTGTAGATTTTTATAGAGCGAAAGTGAAGAAAGAGGTTTTCAAAAGCGCGGACGTGTTGCGATATTGGTTTCATAAGACTATATTACATACTTAATCAACCAGTGATAGGATTTTCTGGGAGTAAGAGAACGTCGTTATTGAGCTAAAGTAGGATAAATTAAAATACCTGGTGGTATCTGACAAGGCGATTGAGGCTAAGATGATAAACAGGCCTTCTTTCTCCGCTTTCCACATAGTAGTACGTGGAATCTGCTATGTATCGCTTGCGAATTGGATAGTGCCTGAAGAATTCACTTTCCACGTAACAGGTGAACCTCTACCAATTTCCTGTCAACTTCCAAACTTTTAAGAAAGTAAGGGACGGACAGCGAAGTTGTGGTTATGTTTTTATGACAAGCACAGTACTGGTTCAACTCCATTCCAGAGTCACCAAACTTCCTATTCTTCCGGAGCTAGGACATTGGTGCCAGGCTTCTCCGGGGCTGGCTCAATCCTTCTAATCCACGTGAGAACAAATTAGTACGAACATGGCAAGGCTCCAGGAAGAATCGACCATACCAACATTCAACGACGTTCATAATGGAGATGAAATGCTCAAATAGCAGCCGAATCGAAAAGTAGATGTTTGAAGACCTCAGCGAGTGATGAATGCGAGGAAGCGAATCGATTGCTCGAGGTGCTAAAATCCGCATGGTAGATATGAAGACGGGTCACACAAAATTCAAAATGAGAAATGTAGGGAATTGTGCTATCTGCTGTTCTTCTTTATCATCAACTGGATCAAGCAACATGTAACATCTACATCTCTATCGTGACAGAATCTAGCGGTGTGATTCCATGCTCTTACGGAATTTCAGGGAAAATTGCTGTAACGGTGGCTTAGTGAGTAATTCACATTTTCCAGCCATCATTTTGGAACGGCTCCTACATACAGCTGTGGCGTTCCTCATTTTTCGTTCTCTTTTTTACTCGATGGCTTCCACCGCTGTCAGTATCGCCCCGAATGTAGTCGGTAGAACTTGAGTCATTTTCACACTGCGAATCCCTCGTCGATTTCGTCTCTCAAAGGACACTAGTGGAAGGAATGGTGAGCCGGAGATGCTACTCGTGAACATTTTTTTTCAAATTAACTCCCGCCGTATATATGCACGTCTTGTTACACATGCAGATGAAAACAACCCATATTTGCTCTATCTTGTTAGCATGCGATGTTATAATAATTGTCAGCGAAGAGGCTAAGTTTCCTTGTCTTCGAGTTTCAGATCTCCCACTCATCTCTTCTCGTTCAAAAGCAATGCAAAGAATTACCATCTTTTACTGTCTCCATCACCAAGTTCTCGAAAGCAGTTCCTAAAACTTTCAGGTCAATCAGCTAATCTTTCGTATGTTCTTGTTGAACCCCTCTTCCAAGTCATTAATATCCATGTTACATGTGTAGTACAGGCTGTAATATTGCTGCGGTGCTCACCGGAAACGGTGGTGACATTGTCGATGGCTAGTAGATGAAATAGAATTTTGTCCTGTAAAAATATTATTTCAAATGGCTTCGACTTCTCCGGCGATTCAACCGAGGTTTCTGCGATTGCCTTTGATTTTTATTACTCTAGAAATCCCCTTCTTCCTTGTTTCATATCATTTCTTCCGCTTCTTTGTGCTGATTGAAAGTCTGGTCTCATTCGATTTTTGTGAGACCTCGACGGCATATCAGATTTCGAATGGTTAAGGAGGGACGACAGTGAGTTTTGACCCGTCATAGTTCCCGGTACAGTCAGTAATATGTTTGATGTGACCAGCTCTTGACGTCTTGTCCATCTATACTGTCAATGAATACAATAGTATGGGCTACATGAGGAACTCTCTAAAAACGTTTTGTTTTTTCGAAGACATGTACATTTCGTATTTAACAGTTCATAATCTCCTAGTATGACCACTCACCTATAAGAGCCATTTGCAGTTTTGTAGACTATAGTCAAGACTAACTCTGCTTCGAGGCCATCAAGACAGTAATCGCTTGTCATCTGCAGTTACATTGTTAGCTCCAAAATTTCACAAACCCTGCTATTCTGTGCGATTACCGATTTGGTCTAGCCTAATCTTGAGTTCCATTAGTACGATGTTGGAAATACGTCTTAGTTATAAGGTTTAAAATTCGTCTCACAGAAATTTGAAAATAAGAACACGTGTACCTCATGATACAGCTTAAAATCCGCTCGTTTCTCCACATTTCGTTCAGCTTTGGCAAAGTTGCAAATTCCAAGATAAATGCTTCTGGAAATTCACAGACGTCAAAGGTTATCAGGGCCATCGTTAAAGCTGCTCATTTTGCCATTCCTTGGCCAGATGTTGCTCACGCCAGAGTCGGGTCATCGACAATTGTATCAAATCACAATTCCACGAAATAGCTTTTGAGGAAATAGCTTGAAGATTGTATGGATACCAGTATAAATGTTTTCCCATGTATGATGAAGATGAACATAAACAAAATTCTCTATTAAACCCGACATTGTTCCGTGAGATTTTTCTTTTTGAGCGGAGACGTGGTTGTCTATAACAATATTTATACATTTATTTATGTGATCTTATAAACTGATCTTCTTAGGCTGACGCGAGGTTGGTACAGATCTTCGTTGTCGTTGTCGTTTTTTTTTGATGTTATTGAACGATGGCTGACGTTTCGGCGATTTCGCCTTCCTCAGAGCCTGGACGTACATTATGTTAGAATACTTTTTATTATTTGGTGGAAAAGAAGGTTAAAGTATTAATGAAGATCAAACTTTCAAATAGACGCCATATTGAATAGACGTAGTAAAAACATTCTAGTCCACTGCCTCTCCTCTCATCCTTCACACATAAAAAAAGCATTTATCAAAAATATGTATCGTACGGCTAAAAATGTGTGTACGGGAGAAGAGGAAAGGAAGGAATCCACTTTGTGTCCGCATAAAAGAACATCTAGATGGGAAAGCTAAAATCCGTTTAAACACCCCTCTAGGTACGCATAGGGCACAAAAGCACAACGGCGATGATTTGGAAGTGAATGTGCGGATCCTAGCGCAGGAATCAAAAACATTCAATGCGCAAAACTCTTGAGGCGTTCTGGATAAATTTTAAAAATCCAAAGATGAACCGGAAGGACGAATGCCCCACTATCACGCGTGACCTGGCGCCCTATTTCAAAATGATATTTTGACCCCGGGGCGTGTCTTGCTCGCGTAAACTACGTGTGGGCCAGTCCCGCACGTAACATCATGGCGAGTGGCCTTTCTGTTCAATATGGCGTCTATTTGAAAGTTTGATCTTCATTAATACTTTAACCTTCTTTTCCACCGAATAATAAAAAGTATTCTAACATAAAGTACGTCCAGGCTCTGAGGAAGACGAAGTCGCCGAAACGTCAGCCATCGTTCAGTAACATCAAAAACAACGACAATGACAACGACAACGAAGATCTGTACCAACCTCGCGTCAGCTTAAGAAGATCAGTTTATAAGATCACATAAATAAATATATCAACTATCTATGCCGAGGTTCATAGAAAGTCGGTCTTTCGAATATTTATACAATAATGGCTGGCATTTCGGCGCTTTCGTCTTCTTCAGACCCTGCAATGGCCAAGCTTGCACGCAATCAACTCGGTCAAATATTTTTATAACCCCATCAGAAGAATCTTAACATCTTAAATTGTGATTGCACAATGACCATATGCGTTCCGACATAGTGTATGCAATCTTCTGTATAGCTCTGACGACGAATAGGTTGGTGAAATAGATAGACCACTTCGTGTCCGTGGAAAAGGGCACCTAACTGCGAAACTTGTGGCCAAACGAAACACTCCGCTAAATATGCATAGGGCGCAAAGACATAACGGAGAAGATTTCGAAGTTATATAACTATCCTCGCACAAGAACCCAGAACATCAAAGCGTAAAACTCTTTAAGCGTGTTGCGTAAATTGCGAAAGTCCAAAAGTCGACCGTAAGGTGTTATGTCCTGTGATCACGCTTCACCTCGTTCCGCAACTCAGGCTGATTTTTTGACTCTGGAAGATACATTACCTACCATGTATGCCTCCGTGCAGCTGGTCCCCATCGAATAACTGGAGGACTTAAAAAGATTGAAACGGTGAGTGTTTGAAAGAAACTCTATACTATGAGAATGGAATTTATGTATAGAGTTTATTTTGTTTGGGTTATGATGTTTAGCTGAGTAGATCGAATATCAATTTGGTCTTTCCAGAGTCTGAAGAAGCCAAAACCACCGAGGAAAGTCATCTAGTATTGAAAAGGTAGTATAATAACAGATTTTTCAAGAGGGAAAACACTTGCACTGCATTGGCACTATTCCCCTGCACGCTGTATCTGGCCGGCTTTACGCGCGTCTCAACCATTTTGTTCTTTAACACTTTACAGGCCAAGTGTCACTGATCTCCCTCATATGAGGGATTTCGAGCCATTTAGTTGCGAGGCTACTTGGCGCGTTCTCAGGCGGCGGACGGAGAAAAAGACG